AAAAATTATAATACGGTATATAAAAAGGTAGGGTAAATGATAAAATAAAATTATTTAATAATAATGAAGGGTGAGATTGAGAGAAAAACACAAGGAAACGACGCGACCACACCAAATCGGTCGTTACATAAAGTGGCACATTTCATCGTTACGTAACGACGGATTTAACAATAGATACAATAAAATTTAAATAACAATCAAAACAAACATTGTATTTAAAGTAACAATACGATACGATACGATAGGTAACAACCATCCAAACAAGCTGCTAGGGAACAAGGTCCTAGGATCAAGCCCCTCTTAATGACAATTATGAGGGTCATTGATGAATGTGTATGACAGTCTATGAATGTCAAAATTCTCTGTAACGGATTGTGTATTTAATACTAAAAAAATATTCTTCATTAAATGTCATCAGGTGACAAACATTCGTTTGTTTCGTTAGCAATATTCCCTTCGGGGTCTGCCCGGTGCCAACCGAAGCTGCTGTCCCGGTCTTGGTTTCCACTTGCCTCGTTTTCCGTCTGTCTCTAGTTCCACATGTCGATCTATTATTCAAGTATTTAATACGAACCGATTTACCCTATACAGGCGGCTCAACATAATTTGGAGCTTAAAGCGTAATTATAATTAGAGGCCTAAAATTTTTATAATCGATCTTTAGCAATTATTTTTCAATCTATAATATAACTAACTAATTTAATCACTCTCGAGACGTTGTTGATCCCAACTATTAGGCATTCGAAAATAAGTCTATTTATGTAATTAAGTATATTGATTAGAGTATTATCTTCTACTTGTACTATTTCTCTTAATACTTTTAATTTGAAATAAAAATCTAAGTCATCAATATTAAAGTGACTATTATACTTTAATGATCAACAAAGGTTAACACAATAATTCTTTATCTTTCAAATTCTTCATTTTGTTATCTCAATCTTTTAAATACTTTTAGGTTTTAATGGTCAAAATGTATAAAATGCAAAATGCAAGTTACATTAAGTTTAAGGAAATCATAAAAATACATTTATTTTATTCGAGAGGACTTTTTCATCCCTCAATAGTCACATCAACTTCACAATAATACAATTTTATTACTATAAAATAGTTAAACTTTTAAAAAAAAAAATAACACATAGCCTATTTCTTTTGGGACCCCTCAAAATTGGGGGCCTAAGACATATGCCTTACTAGCCTAGCCTTAGAGCCAGCTCTGATAAGAAAGTATTGAAAAGGGATGAAAGAACTTCTCTGGTATTTCAGGTGTTTAGGCAGTGGCGGATCCAGAGTGGAATAAACGGGTTCACAGGAACCTAGTAGCTAGCTTTTGCCCAAACCTTTTATATATATATATTTCAAAATCCACAAATATTAATAAATATTTGACTATGAACCCATTTATTATTATATATTAACTTGAGATTGTTGTAGGAACCCATAAACGTTAACTCTTGGATCTGCTTTTGTGTTTAGGTATAAAGGTTTGTAAATTTTTTGAATTAAACTAAAGTTCGAACAAGACTTCATGCATACTTTTTTTCCTTTCCTTTCTTCACGTTTAATCTGGTAGAGAAATTCCTGAAAACATGTATGCAGGTGCGGAGGTCATTTTTTAAATACCGTCAATTTTGGGGACATTCTGCTAAGACAGCCCCTCGGGCCATTCCTGTCAGTCTCCCCAATTTAACATCAAAAGGCCTCGATCATGGCATGTATAATGGCCAAATTCGGCGGGCAAGGTGCAAAAAAGGCCGTATTTAAGATTCATACTTAAAGAATAACCAAAGTTTATAAATTTTTTAAAGTTTAACTGTCTCAGAATTAAATGCATATTCATCAGACTGAAGCCAAAAATCCTGGATATGAAATTTTAAACTTCACATACGGGTTTGAAGCTGGGACGGTCAAGCCTAACTCCCGACTCAACTTCAAATATTTGGGTTAGGTTTGGCAGTCCACAACTGTAATTTTTTGTTTCCAAACATGAACACTTCTCTTTGGTATTTCCACAATTGGAATTGGAATATTGTTACAATCACCCTAAAAGTTCCTGGAGTTCAATTGTTAATGGAAGGGAGAGTCTGAATTAACTTAGCTTACGCTAATAGCGGTCAATTGGGGCATGGCTATGATGATGTGAATATTAATGGTGAATTTTGTGTACAGATCAAATTAAACGACCCAAACAGATTTAAGGGGTCATTTTATTTAAGGGATAAAGAAAATAAATCTTGCTTTAAGTGACGTATTATTTATATATACGTCATTTGATTTCTGGTATAAAATGTTGAATATTTTGAATTAGCAAAAATTAATGTTGAATCTTTGCAGCTATGATAGAGATCATCTGAAGTTTTATACAGAAAGCTCTTTGTAGAATTAAATTTAATAAGCATTTGCAAAACTTTATTTTAAAAAAGGAACAAAAATTAAAGAGTGACCTATTTGTGCAATCTACCCCTTTAATTGACAGGATTCTTTTAAATATCTCCTTAATTAATTAATTAATTACGTTTGAAAGGGCGGCAAAAACTGGTCCAAACCTGCAAATCCAACGATTCTGACCAAATATACCAAACGGATATAAGCTTTATAAAAATCAAAATTCCGATTTCTGAAAATGGAGAATACAAGTGAATTAACGACAGATCCAAGAACAAGGTACTCGAATTTGAAGAAAGCTTTTGTGATTGGAGTACGCACCTTGGTAACTTCTTGTTCTAGAGAAGTACTCTTTTTCTTTGCGAATGCCCTAAAAACACTGCTTTAATTCATGTTCGTGATGATGAATGAATTGAAGAAATTTGGTAAAACTTTCCCCAATTTCGCTCCAGCAGAAGTTGAACGCCTTATATTTTCAGGTCAGCTTTTGTTCTTATTCTATTCGTTTTTTTAAAATATTTTCTAAAGGCTTCAGAATTTGAGAAATTTAGAATATCTAATGTGAAATTGGACTTATTCGTTAAGTAAATTAAAATTGGAGTTTGGAAATATCGCAATTTGTTTTTGAGTTTAAGTTCCGTGTAAACTTTTTTAGTGGCATTCTTAGGTTATGCTATAACTTAATTTCTTTTTCGAGTTTAAGTTCATGTGTGTAGAAATTGACATGTGGTGTAAACGTTATGTACATTGTCAGCGGATATAACTGAAATCCTTTTGAGTTTAAGTTCTATACACTATCCGTGATAAATTTTGATGAAGAAAGGAGAATTTATTAAAAGCATCCAGCAGATGTAGGCAAAATATTAGAATTAAGAGAGATGGTGTCTTCTCATGTACACAAAAAAACTACGCTAAGGAGCGGACACAATCAAAAAATTGAACACAACTAGTTACAGGTGCCTTATTTAGCCAACTAAACAAATTCAATAAGCATTTTGCTTTGACTGCATGAGTCGGAGTTGAGATCCCATCAAAACATCTACGGTTCCTTTCATTCCAGATGCACCAAAAGATAGTAGCAGGTACCATTACCCAAATTTTTTTTGATGGGTTTACCAACTCTCCATGAACACCAACATTCATATGCTTCCTTGATGCTGTTAGGCTTGATCCAGGCTAGTCCAAAAATAGAGAGGAACATATTCCAAATATTACATGCTAAAGGACAATGCAAAAAGAGATGTCTAACACTTTCAGAGTCCAAATTGCACATGTAGCACCTATTCACTGTTGGTTACTCCATCTGCTGAGGTTGTCTTGTGTGAGGCATGCTTCATTTAAAGCAACCCAGCTGAAACAAATCACATTAGGAGGCAGTTTTGTTCTCCAAATTAGTTTCCATGGCCAATTGTTTATCAGATCATTGTTGGAGCATAAGTGTGCATATGCTTTCCTCACGGTAAGTTTCCTCTCCTTAGAGTCCCCCCATTCCAGTTTGTCCTTCAGCTGGGGTTTGATTCCATTAGTTCATTGATCTCCCAATCTTGAAAATGTCTCCTGAATTGAGGGTCCCAAGAGCTGTTCTGCCCAGATTGTTCTACAGTGGATTCTTGATCTATTGCCAGTAGGTACAAATTTAGAAATTCATCTTTTAGTGTTATTGTTCCCAGCCACTTGTCTCTCCAAAACTTGATAGTGTTCAACTCCTTAACTTGAGTTTTGAGTTAAGTTGGAACTCATCCATAAACTGGATATGTGTTTCCATAGGCCTATGGAAAGTTGCAAAGTATAATTTTTATCTGTTTTCAGAACTATATTTTGCTTTTTGCTGTTCCTAACATAGGTCTTTAGGAGCAAACTTAGGTCTGAACCTTTACTTGTCTGGTCAATTTCTGATGATCAAGATTTTGTTTCTATAACGTGGCAAAAAGTAGTGGCCTGATACAATTTTAAAAGTTTGTTGTTTCCCAGCTGTTCTCATTTTTTAAATTAAGAACAGTATGTATGCATGCATGCATGCATGTGTGCATGTGTGTGTGTGAACAATACAGATATCCATATTTGCATGTCTAGATGTCACCCACCATCAGTTTTGGCATTTGCCTAGGTCATACCATACTGCTGTTAGCTAGTTTACTTTGAGTTTGGAAGGAGGGAGTGTTTTTCTTTTTCTGATTGCGCTACTAACATACTAACAGTGGCATCTAGACAAGGCTCTCTGTCTGCCTATCTTCGTCAAGAAACATCTCAGACTTCATGCATCTTAAGATTAAATGGTCAATAGTTAATTTATTTTTTCCCCATCAAGGATTTGATGTTTAATATTGCAAAGTATCTTACAAGCATTTTGTGAAAACAAAATTCTGCTGCCTCATATTAGATTTGTTTCAAATTTTGGAGGACATGACAGAAATCATAACACAACGCTGTTTTTTGTGCTCCGAAAATTTGTTCCTCCACTCTGTTTGGAATGGCTCACTAGGCTATTTAATGTTATTTTTAAGACAAAGAAGATGCCCGAAGCATGGAGGTGGAGTACGATGGTTCCGCTTTATAAGAACAAGGGTGATATCCAAAATTGTAACAATTATAGGGGTATCAAGTTGTTGAGTCACACTATGAAGGTTTGGGAGAGGATGGTGGAGGCCAGGGTGAGGAGGTGCATGTCTATTTTCGATAACCAGTTTGGATTCATGCCGGGGCATTCGACTACGGAAGCGATTCATCTGGTAAGGAGATTAGTGGAGCAGTACAGGGAGAGGAAGAATGATTTGCATATGGTGTGTATTGACCTTGAGAAGCATACGATAAAGTACCGAGGGATTCCTATGGAGGTGTTTGGAGGTTAGTGGCGTTCCGATAGCGTACATTAGAGTGATTAAGGACATGTATGATGATGCTAAGACTCGGGTGAGGACTGTGGGGGGTGACTCAGAGCATTTCCCTGTGGTGATGGGGTTGCACCAAGGATCGGCTCTTAGCCCATTTTTATTTTCCTTGGCGATGGATGTACTGTCGCGACGCATCCAAGGGGAGGTGCCTTGGTGCATGCTATTTACCGATGATATAGTGTTGATTGACGAGACGCGTAGCGGAGTTAACACGAGGTTGGAGGTTTGGAGACAGACCTTGGAGTCTAAAGGTTTCAAACTGAGTAGAACCAAGACAGAATACTTGGAGTGCAAATTCAGTGACGGGATCCATGATGCAGATGTAGAGGTTAAGCTTGATGCTCAGGCTATCCCCAAGAGAACGAGTTTTAAGTATCTCGGGTCTATTATCCAGGGTAACGGGGAGATTGACGAAGATGTCGCACATCGCATCGGTGCTGGATGGATGAAGTGGAGGCTCGCTTTCGGTGTGTTGTGTGATAGGAATGTGCCGTTAAGACTTAATGGTAAGTTTTATCGAGCGGTGGTTCGACCGGCTATGCTGTATGGGGATGAGTGTTGGCCAGTCAAGAACTCCCATCTGCAGAAGATGAGAGTAGCAGAGATGAGGATGTTGAGATGGATGTGTGGGTATACCAGGAGAGATAGGATTAAGAATGAAGCTATCCGGGACAGAGTGGGAGTAGCCTCTGTGGAGGACAAGATGCGGGAGTCAAGGCTGAGATGGTCCGGACATGTTAAGAGAAGAAGCATTGATGCTCCTGTCAGGAGGTGTGAGAGGTTGGCTATGGAGAGTTTGAGAAGAGGTCGAGGTAGGCCTAAGAAGTACTGGGGAGAGGTGATTAGATACGATATGGCGCTGCTTCAGCTCACTGAGGACATGACCCTTGATAGGAGGTTGTGGAGGTCGATGATTAAGGTAGAAGGTTAGTAAGTTAGTCTTAATAGCATGCATGTCCCTTAATATTCTTAGATTCCTATTACGTTATGTGGTTGTGTTTGTCTCAGGCATTGTATTCCCTGCTGCTATTATTTGGTACTACTTACTCCTTACCCCCCCCCCCCCCCCCCTTTTTTGCACTTCTTCTTCTTGTCCTTCCTGAGCCGATGGTCTATTGGAAACAGCCTCTCTACCTGCATTAGGTAGGGGTAAGGTCTGCGTACAAACTACCCTCCCAGACCCCACCTGTTGGGATCAAACTGGGTTTGTTGTTGTTGTTGTTGTACTCTGTTTTCATGTGAACTTCCCACTGTACCTTAAAGATTCTTTTTTTTTGGTTGTGGTGATAAAGTAAGTGGATTAAATTAAAGGCATCAAGCACATGCAATGAGTATATAGCATTTAAGCTTGCAAGAAATCTAGCTGGGTTCTATACAACTATACATTATATTCACTTAGCAGTATATTGGTGGTCCCACAAACCATACTACTTCCTTGGTAGAAAAGGAACTATCTTCAAGGTTTGATTTCAATCAACTGAAGAAAAAACTTTTTTTGTTTGATGTGTTGGGGCAATGGGTGCTAGTGTGTTAGAGTTTTACCAAGAGGGGCTACAGGGTTGCGCGAAGAGAAACTGGTCGGACATGACATGGTTTGACCAGGGTTGTGCTCCAATGCCATTTTGACTTTAAAAGTATCTGAGTCTAATTGCAAAGAATGAAGACCTAATAGGATCCACTGGTCAGAGGTGTGGAAAGGTGCCGAGGGAAGGGCTGTAGCAAAGGAGAAGGAAGAGAGGGATTAAGGATTTGGTTGGCGGGTTGGGGGGAGGGACGGATGGGATTTCACCACAGTTTTCATATTGGAGGAGGGAATTGATGGTTTTGGGTTGTGACACTGGTCCCAAAACAGAGAACGAAATGAAACATCATTTGATTGCCACGTACTTTTCAATGTTGGTAAAAGGCATGTTGTATTTCAGTGTTGATGGAGCACGACAACTAACTTCTTGGGGCACAAATATCAGCACCCGTGATGATATCTGTCTATTTTAGTCCCTTGTATTTGAAAATCGTGAAGTCCCTTTTTGATTCTTGGGATGATCTAAAACAAACTACTGTAGTATTTAGTGGAGCATATTACATATTAAAGTGGTGAACGAGAGATTCAGAGCACTATGTTGGAGCTACTGAACCAGTTAGATGGCTTTGATTCCAGAGGAGATGTTAAGGTGATTTTTGCAACCAATAAAATTGTGAGTCTGGATCCTGCCCTGCTTCGGCCTGGTAGAGGATAGACAGAAAAATTGGGTTCCCACTTCCAGATATTAAAACAAGGAGGCACATTTTCCAGATACACACAGCAAGGATGACTTTGGCTGATGATGTCAACTTGGAAGAATTTGTTATGACCAAGGATAAGTTTTCAGGAGCTGATATCGATGCAATATAAACTAAGCTGGATTACTCGCTTTAAGAGAGCGGCGTATGAAGGTGAGATGTAAAAATGGGTAATCAGTTTGATTTATATTTCATGATGGGTAGGCATGCTCTAATATACTTCTAAAAAGGGGCCGAGGGGAAGAAGGGGTTGCTTGTTTGATTCAATTTCAGATAACTTCTTTTCTTTCATTGGTATGACATGTCTATTTCGAGGCACGTAGTTCTGGTTTAGCAAAACCCACTTGAAATGAAGGGCTCTTACTTTATTATAATTTAAAGCTTTGTGGAGTGGAGAGATGGAGTTTGAGCTTATTTTCCCCTGAATAAGTGCATCCTCCATCTTAAGTTATGGTCTTATGTGCCGAATAAGTGCATTGTTCATTTTATTGTACTTATGCAGTTAGAAGAATTGTGAAGATGGCCTGGAAAGACGAGGTTTATTGGACAAGGAAATATAGACTGTAGATTGCAATTGATTCTTTAACATGTTCAGGATGTTGAATAATGGAAAATATATTTGAGTTTTTTATACTTACCTAAATTGTACCATTAATTTTCTTTGGCATATTGACTGTTAGACTTTGTCAGCTTTGTGCTCTGTATATAAAATCCTTAACTTTAAAAACAATCTTTGGCATATTGAATGTCTAGTCTGGAAAAGTAAAGATTATGAGGAAGAGAAGATCAAATATCTAATTATGGTTAAATAGTCGTGTACTGTTCTTTACCTAGGAAAAATATATTAAAAGATATACATTTTAAATTTCCTGATCATACTCATGTCCTATGGTGTTGGAGAACTCAGAGAGTCGGAGAGATTTTGGGTTTTGTAGGCGTATTAAGTGTGAGGAGGTTGATGTGGCAATACGGAAGATGAGCAGGGGTAAGGCGACTGGGCCTGATGAGATCCCGGTGGAATTTTGGAAAGAGGCGGGTAGGGTAGGCTTGGAGTGGCTTACTAGCTTGTTTAACGTCATTTTCAAGATGAAAAAGATGCCCGATGATTGGCTATGGAGCTTGATGATTCCGTTGTACAAAAATAAAGGTGATATCCAGAACTACAACAACTATAGGGGTATCAAGCTGCTGAGTCATACTATGAAGGTTTGGGAGAGGGTGGTCAAGAAGAGAGTGAGGACATGTGTATCTATCTCTGAGAACCAGTTCGGATTTATGCCAGGACGATCAACTACATAAGCTATTCACCTTGTGAGATGATTGGTGGAGCAGTACAGGGAGTGGAAAAAGGACTTGCACATGGTATTCATTGATCTTGAGAAGGCTTATGACAAATTTCCGAGGAAGGTGCTATGGAGATGTTTGGAGGTTAGCAGAGTCCCGATAGCATACATTAGGGTGATTAAGGACATGTACGAAGGTGCTAAGACTCGGGTGAGGACTGCGGGAGGAGACTCGGAACTTTTCCCTGTGGAGATGGGGTTGCATCAGGGATCAGCCCTTGGTTCGTTTTTGTTTGCCCTAGCATTGGATGTGCTGACGCGACACTTACAAGAGAGATTGATGATGACATAGTACTGATTGATGAGACGCGATGGGGTGTTAACGCTAGGTTTGAAGTTCAGAGACAAACGTTAGAGTCCAGAGGTTTCAAGTTAAGTAGGCCGAAAACTGAATACTTGGAGTGCAAGTTCAGTTATGACAGGTTTAAGAAGTGGAAATAAAGATTGTTACTCAAGTCATTCCCAAAAGAGATAGTTTCAAGTATCTTGGGTCTATAATCCAAGGCGATGGGGAGATTGACGAGGATGTTACTCATCGCATTGGAGAGGGTTGGATGAGATTAGCTTCGGGGGTTTTATGCGACAAGAATGTGCCGCCTAGACTTAAGGGAAAATTCTACTGGGTGTTGGTTAGACCGGCTATGTTGTATGGAGCTCAGTGTCCGCCCGTCAAGAAGTCCCATGTCCACAAGATGAGTGTAGCTGAAATGAGGATGTTGAGATGGATGGATGGACATACCAGGAAAGACTAGATTAGGAATGAAATTATTAGGGATAAGGCGGGAGTGGCATCCATGGAAGACAAGTTGCGGGAATCGAGGTTCTACTTCTGATTTTGTCTAAAGTGCGAGTTAAATTAAATTCTGTGTTTGAACATTTTTTGTACTGTTTTCTGAACATGTTGCTGTATATTTCTCACATGTTCTCCCCGTGATAAGATCTTGGTATTGAAGAGATAATTGGATTTTCTATTGTGATCTATCAGTTGTAAAGCAAACTGGACCAAGGTGTAGTTGTTTAACCAAAAAATTGAATTTTTATTAAAGTTATAATTTAGAAGAACACGGGTTACTGATAATCGCAAGAATGTATAAAAGAAAGCAATTCAGATAGCCAGAATATAATCGAATAAAACAAGTAAACCAAAGTATATTCAAATGATTTTTTTGTGTCCCTACAACTGTTCGGTACTCTCCTTTTATAGCTATTTCGGATGTAAGTATCTTGCTTTTGTCATAATAAGGTTATTATGGGCAATAAATGACATTGAATGCTACTTTACATAATCATTACATTTAAGACAGATTCTCTAACATTTTCAACATTTAATGCTTATTAAATACTGTATTTGGACCCTCGTATGCTGTCAGATTCATTCCCTTGACTCTTCTTGATTATTGAACTTAAATTTCTTGAATAGGTACGGGCTGAATCCTTTAAATAACCGCTCGTGCCTCTTCCTTTGCTTTTGCTCGCATCTATTACCACTCGTGCCTCTTGGCTAATTGTAACTCTTTGACTATTTGACCAACCTACGTGTCATGACACGTCATCTTCATACTTTTTTAATATGTAAACTCAATTTTTCCCAATACAGATAGTCCCTTCACTTGCCATTTATTCATCAATTGAATATTTGGGAAGCGGATTTCATTAAAACGGGATTTTTTTTCACCATTAATGTTGTGACAGAATTGACGCTTCAATTGTCACTTCCATTTAATGTGTTTCACACGTGTCACCTTCCTATTGGTTCTGTAATTTTGCAGAACTTTTCTAGGCTTTCTTTTCGGCTTCACTGTTCACGAAGTGTCAGTTATCATTATTATGGCCCTTCCATCATTTCACTTTTTCCTTTGACGGTTAATCATCAATATAAATATAACTTCTTTCTTTGTCTTTGTTTCATAAAGTTTACTGAACACTTTATTTTTCAAATCTCTGTTTGTTTCTTCCTCGTATCATCTTTTTCATTATATCTTCGTCGAACCCTAACCCTAGAAGGGCTTCCATTGTTGATACCTTCCCTAGTGCTCTTAGCAGGGGCAGAAGGGAGGTAGGCACCGTAGTTCGAGATCTGTACGAGGCCCTTCTGTTTTATCTCCTGGTTCTGGCCCTTCTTCTAGAACCAGAGGTTCCCTTTCTCAAAAATCTTCCTCTTGGGGTAAAGAACCTTCTGAACCATTACGTGAACCTTTAGTAGAAGAGATAGTCCCTACGGAATTGTCTTTTTATCGTGACAGGGAATCTCTTAGGAATCAGGTTTCTACTTTAGATCGTGCTGATGCTTTTCCCACTCAGATTACAGAAATTTTGGCTCCTGTAGTTCGTAAGGATTGTCATTGGAGTGATGACTTCCCTATTATTATTCCTAACCCAAATCAAAGAATCACTTCTTACTTGACGGGGTTTTCTTTTGTTTATACATACCCTTTCACCTTGGGGTTTAAACCAGCTATTGACCCAGTGATTCTTGATTTTTGTCGTTTCTTCGATGTTTGTTTGGGTCAAATTAGCCCAATCATATGGAGGGTTGTTGCCTATTTAAGGCATTTAACCAATTCAGCTGGTGTTCCCTTTACTTTCCCTCACTTAATTCATCTTTACACCCCTAGGCTTTTTCGCAATGGTGTTTTTACACTAGTAGCCAGGAGTAAGAGGGTTTTGGTGAGCCCTGAGGATGACAAGGACCGTGGCTGGTATGCCCGGTTTGTTTTTGCCCCCACTGCTGGTTTAGTGGGTGAAGATAACGTTCCCTTCCTTGAGAAGTGGAACTTTGCACGTAAGTCTTTTATCATGTTCGTGCCTTTTTACTTTAAGTTTATCAACTTTTCTGATTTTGCTTTTTTTTTTCTTTTTTTAGAAACCATGGGAGTTGTGGGAGATGTTCCCAATTTTCGTGGCTGGGTAGACAAATTACTGAAGACTTGCACCAATGGATGGGAGGTCTTGGAAGACACTTTCTAACCGTTTTGGTTGGAAAGTAAAGACTCATGGTAAGAGCCTTTTATTTTATTTTATCTTTCATGCATATGCTTCTCTTTATGGCTCTAATTTCAATCCATCTTTTTATCAGGATTTGCTACTCGAGGAGTTACTGCCGAGGCAGTTGCGGCTTCTCGTGCTTCTTCAGCAACCCGTATCTCTTTGGAAAGGGCTCAAGAAATAGTCTTGGGTTCTTCGAAGAGAAAAGCCGTTGAAGAAGAAGATTCCGAAGAAGAGGAGGATGACGGGGGCTCTTTAGTGAGACGACCTCGAGCTCAAAGACGCATCATTTCTGATGATGAGGCTGAAACATCCCCCCGCCAATCTATTTCTCTCACCGAGCCTACTGAAGCCCCGGCGGTAATTCCCGTATCTGATGATGATGCAGCTCCCCTAGATACTCGTGAATCCATTGAACAACTTTTCATCAGTGGCTTTGGTAGTGGAAGTTTAGGGCCCGTTTTAGATGAAACTCCCCTAGCCTCTTTTTCAGCCTCTTTTTCAACTCTCGTGCCTATGATTTCTTCCTTACCAACCCCAGCTGTTTCTGTTCCTTCTTCTACTGTTTTCACTTCTTCTACCGTTCCTCCTTTGACAATTCCTCCTCCTATCGTTCATCATACGGAAGTGGGCGCTTTAAGTAGAAGTGTCGCCATGAGGAGGGTAACTATTGAAGTTCCTGATGATAGCAGCTTTTTGAGGAAGTCAGGTCAGGCGGATGTATGGCTAGAGCCTTTAATTGGCCCAATTGAAAGAGCAAAGCTGGAGAGCCATAGTTCCCTGA